GGAGGCTAAGGCAAGAGAATCATTTAAGCCCAAGAGTTTGAGGTTGCTGTGAGCTGTGACACCACCACACTCTACTGAGGGCAACATAGTGATGCTCTCTCTGTCACACACAAAAAAAGACAAGCCTGAATAACAAAGTGAGATACCATCTCTACAAAAAACAGAAAAATTAGCTGGATGTGGTAGCATGAGCCTATAGTCCCAGCTATTCAGGAGGCTATGGCAGTAGGCTTCCTTAAGCCCTGGAATTTGAGGCTGCCAGGAGTGATGATGGTACCACTGAACTCTTGCCTGGGCAAGAGAGCAAGAGCCTATCACCAAAAAAACCACAAAAATAACCATTCTAGCCACACACATCAATATGAGTGAAGTCAATAACGTATGAAATAAAAGCCCCTTACAGAGAGTATGTATTTAGTATGACTCTCTTCAGGATATACTAAAACAAAATAAAGAAAAAAAAAAATATATATATGGATATCTACAAAGATTGTATAATAAAGAAAAGCAAAGACATTATTCACATAAAATTCAAGATAACTGTTACTCTTAAAGGGAAGAGTAGAATAAAACCTATTTCACATTTGCATAGTCTAGTTCTTAAGCTGTATGGTAAGTAATTAAGTATTTACTTGATTACTATTCTCTAAATTATATATATATTTGATATACTATTTGGGAAGTAGATATGTCACATAAATTTTTTATTTTTTTGAGACAGAGGCTCAAGCTATTGCCCTGGGTAGAGTGCTATGGCATCGTAGCTCACAGCAACCTCATACTCGGGCTCAAGCAATCCTCTTGCCTCAGTTTTTCTCTATTTTTTTTTTAGCAGAGAATAGGATCTTGCTTTTGCTCAGGCTGGTCTCAAACTCGTGAGCTTAAGCAATCCACTTGCCTCAGCCTCGCAGAATCCTAGGATTCCAGGCATGAGCCATGGTGCCTGGCCCACATAAACTTTTTTTTTAACTAAAAGAAAATGGGAAACATTTCAGTAATGGAGGCAATTTAGGCAATGTTATCTATGTACTAATTTTTGAAGTTGAATTGAAGGTCCAAGTATACTTGGACACTTGACCATTTTATCTGCAATTAATATACTTTTGGGAATGATCAATTTTACTTCCAACAAGTAATCCTCCAACAAGATCTCTTAAAATGTATATATATATTTTGGCACCCCCTGTATATAATATCCAAAAATCATTAGAACAATTAAAAAGTGGCTACCATACATCAAGAATTGTTCAAGTGCTTTACATACATAATCATATTATCTCACTTACTCCCTGTAATAAACCTATGAGATAACACCATTATTTGCCTCCTCATTCTGATGAGGAAGCCAAGGCATAAAAAGCTTAAGTAGGCTCAGCGCCTGTGGCTCAAGAGACTAAGGCACCAACTACATACACCTGAGCTAGTAGGTTCAAATCCAGCCTGGGGTCGCCAAACAACAATGACGGCTGCAACCAAAAAATAGCTGGGCATTGTGGTGAATGCCTGCTACTTGGGAGGCTGAGACAGGAGAATCGCTTGAGCCTAGGAGCTGGAGGTTGCTGTGAGCTGTGATGCCACAGCACTCTACCTAGGGCGACAGCTTGAGGCTCTGTCTCAAAAAAGAAAAAAAAAAGCTTAAGTAACTTCTCCAAACTCATATGATTGGGACGTGATTCAAACCTTGACTAAATGCATAGTATACATTCATAGTCTACATAGTCTACATTCTGTCTGCTTACCCACAATATAAGAGTATACATTTCTTAAAAGAAATAGAATAGACTTAAGAAATGTGCAGAACCCATTAAAAAATCTGAAATGTGGCTGGGCGCCTATAGCTCAGTGGCTAGGGTGCCAACCACATATACTAAGGCTGGCAGGTTTGAACTTAGCCCAGGTCAGCTAAAACAATGACAACTATAACAAAAAAAAGTAGCCAGGCATTGTGGCGGGTGCCTATAGTCCCAGCTACTTGGGAGGCTGAGGCAAGAGAATCTCTTAAGCCCAAGAGTTTGAGGTTGCTGTGAGCTATGACACCACAGCACT